CCCACATGTACACATTAATATATTTTTTGTGGTACACCACGTAGGTAGTTCTGAAAAGAACAGCTGTTGATTGAGAATGTTTCGTTTGAGTTGCTTCAATCCTCTGCAGGAGAATAATATACAGATATTACTCGCCTGAAGATGAATGAAGCAACTCAACCGAAACGTCGAGACATTTTCAACCAACAACAGTTCTTAAGAGAACTATCTACGTGGTGTACAGCATGACATATTAATATACATTATTACTTCCCCAAGCAAACCTTCAAACAATATTAATTACTTTTCATCATAACACAATTGCCACATTATACTCTGAATATAATAAATTATGAGTTGGTTTTTGTTAACTAATATTGCTAACATTGCTACTTGCCTCAGTTGTGACATCGCTTTCCAGATGTAGCATTGTACTCTGACATTCGTATGACGTTATGCAATGATATGGATCATCAAGGTCAAAAGTAAACGTCAAATAATCAACAGTACGCCCTCCTCTATTTTGAAAATAGTCAGTTCTATAGGTTTCGCGTGACTCGTCTTCAGCATCACGATTGATGATCACGCGGTTACCACCCGTGCTTATTCGAACTGTTGCTCTGATTCTATCAAAGTAATATAAATATTTTACATCAAACATTTTTTTTCTTCATAAATTAGAAATTGACGTGTAAATAGAATACCAATTCCCTTGTACCAATTTTCATGAATAGCGTGTAGGCCTAAGGTTCACCACACTTTCTACAACTTTTAACAAAATTGAATCTCCATAGCGTAACTATACATTTAACCAAGCTTCTGTATGTCAACGTCAAAGTGGAGCGGAATAACCATGGTCTAATTTGACATGTGGGATTACAATAGTTTAATCTAGGAGATTTTTTTTTCAGGAAATGAACCTTGATCCCTAAATTTAAAAGGCAAAGCTTTTTCAAGTTCAAATTGCGTGTTTAAAATCAATTGAAATACAGTAAGCAAAAAGGCATGATGTTTGTCAATAAGAATTGTATAGGGTTTATAGAGTTCAATTAACAATTTTTGCAAACACTGATTGTTTTGCTTTGCTAATTTAAGAGAGCAGCTATTGTTACAGCAAGTTACAAATATAGGTTTCCAGTGGAGCATGTGTCTAAAGCGTCGACTTATTTTTGTACTTCTTATGCGGAGACTCAATTATTTGAAAGTTATATTTGAAACTTTGCTCAGTATTCTACCAGCATAAGAATACATTAAGCTTTGATAAATAACCCCATCCATTCACGTTTTCTGCGTTCTGTGTTAGCAATTGACACCAAACTATACAAGTAAAAAATGTCGAGTGTCTATTCAAGTATATCATCATATTTCATAGTCTCACCTTTGGGGACTGCTTCCACGTCTATCTTTAGATGATGCCATGGTATAATTCTTCCCTTTGAATGTTGAACTCTCAAGCCGGATTTACTCTCACAACTCACAATTGGGACGATAAATATGTGTCTAAGGCCCAGCCGGAACAGTATACACCCAAATAAGACAATAATATTTAACTGTTCCCTGATATAACCGTACAATTGTTTGTCATTATGCATTCGTCCTCAGATTGGCACGTGCAATTGAAACTACATTAGAGCGTATATATAATTGATACAATCGCAAATACAGTAAGTGTGTTGACTCACATATCACCAGTTTTAATTTGATGATCTTCTAAGGAGAGGTGAACAGTTTCTTCACATTCATGCCGACGCACTGGGAAATCTCTGGAGACACGTGAGCTACAGGTAGGCTGAGCCACTTGTTCAGTTATTGAGCCACCTGTAAATAAACAATAGTAGGCCAATATAAATAAATCTGCATATATATATACATATATATATATATATATATATATATAATTTATAATTTATTTATTGAATACATACTTAGATTACAGGGTAGTATGTTCTTAATTGAAGCCTCTATATATGATATACGCATATCGATTTTTTCTTATTATTTACATATCTGAAAAGGTTTAAGGCTTAAGTACAAGTTACACACTCTGAGTTGACTGGGAAAACTCTACCTGATCCAAGAACAATTTGTGCTTCAACACTTGCAATTCCAAAATACCATCGCAGAACATAGGGAGGTAAATCTACAGTTGGTCTATGAAACTCGCTTGTCCAAGAGACGGTGAACTGTTTCGGGAAATGCTCATTAGTGAAGGTTATGTGTTGTGCGTCGCTTGAAGTTGTAATGTTACGTTGCCCATCCGTCAGAAAACCTACAAAATTGTATAGGTCTGGTTGCAAGTAGGTTTCTGAAAATAAACAAACCAATAAGAATATGCATTACACAACACCTACTGGCTACGATTAACTTGCTTTGGGTAATATGTGTGGCGTCCAGCATTTACAAACTGGGAAATAAGGATTGATTGTGTCACAGATTCCAAATTGCACAAGAATATGTCAACGATCATGGCATATGCACAGCCAATCATAAAGTTTATATTATTGTCTGTTTTAAATAAATCGTTGTAACCTAACAATTTGTTCACTTTCGCGACATAATTAGCAAAATAAGGCAATCAATTATCAAATGTTGTTAAACTGAATTATAATATAGCCATTATTAATTATAGTGTCTGTAATAATCTATAACGTAGATGGTCACTGTTATTGTTCGCCTCCGATAATATAATTATATAGCGTTATAGAAAGTTATACTATCAGAAACTCACCTAGACAGGTATTACCTCTGAATCCATCATGGCAAGAACATGAACCATCCTCATCACATGTCCCAGGAAAACAAGCCTTCCCATCTCTCCAGGAACATTGCTCTCAATATAAAATAAAATTTAATCAGTTCGCATCAGTTTTTATAAAAATTTGTATAGAGGTTTAAAAATGTTACATTTTTTAAAAATAATTTTCTTTAAATATAAAAATTCCCCATCTTAATGTATTTGCATTTAACTTGTGCATTTGAGTATTCTGCATTTTAGAAGAAAATCGGATTTTGAATACTTATGACAAAGCGATGTAAGGATTAACTATATCATAATATGGGGGAAAACAATAGACCTTGCACACCAATGTGTACTCGTACACCTGGCGGCGCAGTAAGAACATAGCTCTTGTGTACGTCAGGCTTAAATAAATCTAGGAGTATATCGTGTAGGTTCCATTTCATATTTTGTTTATTTTTGTATAAAACCTATCTGCATTAATTTAAAAAGAAAAAAAATATATATATAATATATCATATTTTATATCATTTAGGCCCTAAGTTGAATGAAAAAGATGCGATTACTGTCGGTTTAAGCTGTCGGCGTTCGCGTGTAGCGATTTTATGGAAACCCCGATTAACTAATGAATTAAAAAAAAAAAACAAAAAAAAAAAAACAAAAAAAAAAACGAAACAAAACAAAAGCAAACAACACTATTTAGGCCCTAAGTTGAATGAAATTGATGCGATACTGTCGGTGTATGCGGTCGGCGTTCGCTGTAGCGCTTTTATATAAACCTGGATTAACTAATGACTTACCAATGCATACAGTGGCATCTGGACTCGGTAAATAAGCAGCACCATCGCGCCCGTAATCTCCTTCACATTTTAAACACACTTGGTCTCTTTCGTTAGTGCAATTTCTAACGTCACAGTTTGTGATTGAAGAACACTCTAATCATGCGAAAAATTGTCGAGCATTAACGGTCAAGTTAAATAAGTCAATAAAACATGAATGGATTGTAATACTTTCACATGACAAGACTAACCAGTTCGCTAAAAGAAACTGTCGTGATGACAGTGAAAGCTACAAATAGCAACAAATGACCATAAACAGGTAAATTTACTTCGATTTTTCTTACATGCTAAAGTTTTTTTTAAAGAACGGCACTCTGTGTTTGAACGCTATATACAATGATATTGTGCACCGCTTATTTTCATATAACACTAGCAATTATGTATACACTAAATGGCTTTTGTATAATGCATCCTTTTCAATGAACAATATACAATATTTAATACATAATGAGTAAACTTTGATAACAATAATATAAAATGATAAAAAAAACATAAATAAATATAATAATAATAATAATAATAATAATAATACTAATAATAAGGGCCATGAAAGTAGCAGAGCTCTTAAACTCTACTATAATATAAATAAATAAGACATATGCCTAAAAGACTAGCATTATCACTAAAGAGCTGCTGAGCTACTTTTTTATTTGTAAATATTTATATTAAATGACGCATAAAAAAATTAACCAACCAAGGACTCATAATCAATCAATCAGTTCATCGATCCATCATCAGTCGATCAGCCAACAAACATCTGTTCGTCTAATCAATTAATTAATCAAATAATCGAATTCGAATCAAGTCAATAAGTCAATAAATCAGTCTAATACGGTACTCCATATATAATAAACATGAATCATAAAAAAAGATAACGCTTTAAAAGATATATGCTAGGCATACTCTATTTTGTTGACTAATAAAGTTTAACTTGTGACGTTAACAACAAATCTTCTCCACGGTATTTCATAATTTGTTATAACCAGAGAGTTATACCAACAATACTATGTCGGGGAACCGAATCTCAGGCCTTTTTCACGAATCGGTAGACATCTTGAAGTCATCACTTCAAGGTGTCTACCGATTCGTGAAAAAGGCCTATTCAATCTATAAAGGTTGTTTTATCAAACGTAAATATGATTTAGCTTTAGTTTAATAACATTCGATAGATTCGAAGAATATAAAGAATTTGCTAAAAACCAGGCCCAAGTAGACCAATTAGGCTAGGCTGAGCTGAGTAGGCCAAGCCGTCACGGTAAAAGTAGTGGCCGTCTTAGATAATTGTTGGCCGTCCAAAAGACGGCCGGACGGCTCGCTGGAAGAGTGGATTAGTATATGTGCTCCAAGCACAATAAATTCTGTAGCTTATTCAATTTATGTATACAGCTACTTCCGAATTTATCCTATCTGTTAATTTTGTTATCGTATTTAAGTTAGCTGTTTCAATAAATAATATATATAAATAATATATATATATATTATATATATGTGCGTGTGCGTGTAATGTATATG